GTAAGTTTGCAAAATGTCTTCAATCTAGTGGAATATTCTTTTTGTCTTGACATAATGTGACATAAATGAGCCTCTACTTTTAGTCTTGTGTATGCTTTTATTATGCTTTCCTCATTAATGATATGCAGTGGCATGCTTATTGTCACCGATGATGCACAACAAGGCCAAAAGTCATCTCCAGTGGCCATGGAGCGCACCAAGTATCATTGCTCATTACAGATCACCAGTCGGTACAAATGACTGTAAGAGGTGGACAAAGTAGGCCCGTTCTGCTCAAACAAGCCAAGAGAGGTGAGTTACCAGAGAGGTGTTTCAAGTACAGTACCCTCATTGATTTAAATGTGGTGGCCAACATATTACACCTCTTATATATATGTATAATGCCATACAGTTCAATAGAGCCACAGACTGCATTCGTTTTAGCTTGGTGGACCTAATAAATTTTACAGAGTGTACTTTAACAAGTTTCAGGTATTCGTTTTAGTTGTTTAACGGAGCGGAGAAAAGAGCTGCTGCAGGTGGACACATGGCACAATGGCAGCGGATCGTCTCTGCAGCCCAGTGGACGTCCAGTCTGTGGTCTAGTTCAATCAGAAAGCTGCGAAACCAGCGTTTTACTTTTTAGAACAGAACACAGTGTGCAGTTTAGTCTGATTCTTTCCACATTTTAGTAAAAACATAAAGTAAAGTTACATTGCATGAGAATTCACAGAACACATGGACTCCGTTCAAGTATCATACTGTACTGGGTCCTGTCATTTGCTGTAACTTCAGCATTCAATTCAACTGTTTTATTATGCATTTCTGTGTGTGTGTGTGTGTGTGTGTGTGTGCTGATATTCATGCCTTGCTCTCACACCTTCCTAACTATGATAAAGTAGGCCTGGTCCTGTCATGGACGCTGCCCTGCTCCCACTGCCCAGGCATCTGCCTCCTCTACCTCTGCCATCAGGACTGGATCTGGTTCAGATCGCACAGGCTTCAGGGCGGGTTGGAGGAGGTGGGGCGGGAGATGGGGCGGTCCAATGAGTGGGCTCTGGTTTGGACTTGAACCCAGTCCACTCCACTTTGGCTGGAGGAGAGGGAGGTTGGGAGGCCGCCATGCCCACATGGTTTATGATGAAGGAGGTGGAGGTGGATCAAGACTAGGGGTTGAAACATCAGGTGACGTTGGGGGGAGGGGACCACATGCTGCTGTCAGTCTGCTTCCACACACAGAAAAATCACACCCACCTCCCACTCTGGAGGATGTGTGGATTGCGTGTGTGTGTGTGTGTTTGTGTGTGTGTGTGTGGGGGGGGGTGCACTGGGTGCAGGCTGCTGTGGACGTGTTGGTCATGTGAGTGATGAAACTGATATTGTCACATCCAGCAACGCAGATCACAGCATGTACGTCTACTTCATCTGCGCACAACTTAGTTTGAAGCCCTGCAGCCTTCAGACGAAAGCAGGAAGAACAGATCCGCCGGGGCTGCAGGCATAACTAACTCACACCTCCCTGCAGACCCTCTGCCTGTCTGTCAGTCCTACAGCTATCGCACAGGCTGTGAAGTTACTACATCTGGTACAGCTGTGTACAAGCAGTGAGCCTCAGTTGATCTTAACTTGTGCATACAGATGAATAAAGTTGTCCCAACCTCTGAGAAACTGTGACACAGATATTTTTGAACCTTGTGTCCACTCATGGAAATAAGAGTTATAAAATATAATCCAACAGAGTAAGTGCTTTTAACCCTCCACTGCACACATGTAGTTTTTCAAAGATTGAGGCTTTCTGACGAGGAAAAGCTAGAACATTTCTTAAGTGAAATACATTAGTTTATGTATATATTATATATATAATAAAAACAGTACTATGATAATAATGAAGCGAAGCTGGAGAACTTTTAAGGCAAGTCAACTTGAACTCACATGGAATACGCTCGACGGGGCCACCAGTGCTCACTCTTTTGAGACACGTGCAAGCCCACCGCCCACCTGAAAGCTAACTGTCACTTGCTGCTGCGCTTCATATAGAATTTCAAAAGCCCCACCTCCACCCCCTCATCCACCTGTGGGCTTTGTGTCTCTCACCTCCCCTTGGAAAGCCTGGAGAAAAGGGGCCCCCCTTAGTTTTCTTGTTTAGTTTTACTCAAGTCCTGGATGGACTCAAGTCCAAGAAGGGATCATGATTAGGTTATTTGATCACATAGACACCCAGCAGTTAGGAAAAATACGTAATAAAGGTCCATCCTAAGGTATTTATCAGTCTCTGGGAAGGTGGAAAAAACTGTAAAATCCCCCAAAATACTGGATCTCTGAACCATCTCTTTAACCAAAACACAGACATTTAGGCTATTCTATTTCTCCTTTTGATAATTAATGTAATGACGAAAGTATTTTTTCACTGAGCCTCCCATGTTTGGAGCCCCCCCGGAGAGGCCTGCCTCCCACTTTGAAAACCTCTGCCATAGGCTCGAACTTGTTATTGTTATTATCGCCATTCCCCACTCTCTTTTCTTTAATGCTCTATACTGTATATATATACAGTGTGTATATATACACATACATACGTGGATAGAATTAAAGTATGGGTAAGATGACAGGTGTACAGAATCCATCAGAAAATGAAAAAACAATATGTTATGACGTTATTCATTCGATGAATCCAACACAAAGAACTGATAACGGCTTGTTTTTCATACTTTTATTATTTTATGCACAAGTCAAAACTAGGACAGGATAAACAGACAAAATTTGATTTTGATATTTAATGTGTCTGATTTGTTTGACCGAGAAGTTACTTACTTCCTTGAGCATTCCCTAACTTCGCAGCAAATACGCTTGCTACCTGATCCAGTGTAATGAATATGAGCATGAACATCAATATGTGTTTTTTGAAAAATGAAAATGAAAAGACTCTTACAAGAAACAGCAGCACATTCCAGTCCCAGCACATGCATACAGGGAGTTAGACTGTGTGTTGCATATTAGGAAAAGATTCCCAAAATACTTTGTTGGGGAAAAAAAACAACTGATGTTGATTCAAGCACATATTCAGAACATTAAAGCTGGAGAAGCAGCAAGCGACAGCTAGATTTTGAAAATATCCAACAGGAAAAAATCCCTCCCCCTCCCTTCAGACCTCCCTCCAAACCACTCCCCCAAAACACATGTTCATGTGCAGCGAGTGCATGGACAGAGTGCAGGCAGACAGGAAGACAAGCAGCACAACAATCATTTCAGTAATTTAACAAAAACTGCTTCTGAAATAAACTCCCTACACCAGGGGTTCTTAACCTTTCTGGCAGTCCGACCCCTTTTTGAAGTAGAAAATATTTCGCAATTTCCCATTGTCCAATCTGATGAATGGAGAGAGTTGTGCTGACGGAGGTTTACAGTTGCTTGAATTGTCCAGACTCTCCCCGACTCATCCTAAAATACGCCTTGAACCGACCATCATTAAGACGAAGCTATTTGTACACCTCACACACTCAAAACAGTGCCAGAGCAGACGCTCTGCGTTTGGCAGATGTTTTTAGCAACAAAACACTCAGACCTGTGAGTTGTGCTCAGGTTTCTGCTAATATGAAAATTATTACTTAGCGGCAAACCAGAGATTACAGATCGCTGGCGCTATAATCTTTGATTAGATTGACAGGACAGCTCATTCAGTGGTTGCCTAGCAACATTAAAAAACCGCTTTATGCTTTATGTCTGATGGGGGCCTGATTCTTCTTTGTTGTTTTATAGCGGTTGGCATCACCGCCACCTGCTGGATTAAACAGTGCAAAACCACTGCCCTACACCATTTTAAATCAGGTACTGCCATCGCCCAAGTGTATTTGCTGCAAAACACAAAGAAGTCAGCAACTTCCTGGTTACACAGATTGGACACATTAAATATCAAAATCAAATTCAGCCTGTGGGCCTCTTGTCTGACTTGTGCATTCAATAGAAAGTACGAAAAACAAGCTGTTACTCATTCATGAATGAACAACGAAATACATTTTATCAATTGAATATGAAAAGAACGAACACTCAGATTTGACAGTTGTGTTCAAGAGTCATTTCCTGCGCCTGAGCAAGAATGCTGTTAGGTCAACTGCTAATTCAGCGTACTGTGTCCTGCTGTTCTCAGGAGTTTGAACTCCAGAGTTTAACTTGCCAAGTTGAAGGACTCCCGAAAAACAACGACTTCAGAATTAACCTATGTTCAGACAGCAGGCCTTAATGCTCAATTCCGATTCCAATTTTTTTGTTTCACAGTTCACATTATTGTTTAAATGTGGCCCATAGCAGACTCCAGTGTGATGTCCACGGCCTGAAAGTGACCTGCATGTGCAGAAGAATAACACAGTGTTCCACGCAGTCGTGCAGAAGTAGGCTAAACAGAGCCACCGAGGTTAGCTCCTACTTGCTAACCATTTGCCGTTTTTCCATTACCAGTACCAGCTCAACTCGACTCTACTCACCTCGGTTTGGCCGTGCTCCATTTTCCATTGCAGATAGTACCCAGTGACAGTACCCCTCAATGTAGCTGGCTGTCATAGCGACGCCACACACAACTGCCGCCACGTAATGTTTAATGCGACACACACACCAGCGATCCACACAGCTTTCTTTTTTTTTAAGTTAAAACGTTTCAACATTCCTCAGAATGTAAAGACAGATAAGCGGTATGAAAACCTTCCAGCTGTGTTTTCCTCTGCCGTTGTTGCTGCAGCGGTCTGTGTGACGGCGGGAGCAGAGGGCTCTGTGAGCGGGCGGCTGGCCGGCCTCACACGCTCCTCCCACGGGTCGGCGCAGGCTTCTCCCGCAGCCACTTGCGGAGCTCCTCAACTCCTAAAATATTCAAGCACATTTTTGCTCCTCCATCACTTCTCGTAAAACTGTCAATATTCAAAATCTACACAGCTGATTTCTCACCTCAAAACTTCTCAGAAGTGGATTTAGTGATGAAATTCCATATGAAAACTGTAAAATATAAAACTTTCTGTTGCTGGCCTCTGTCTGGCGCACGCAATGATGATGCAGTGAATCAGCTCGCTTGGAACCTCGACGGAGGTGATACGAAAAAAGTACCTAGAAGGAGGTACAGGTGCAACATTTCCACAATGGAAAAACCAAAAAAAAGGTGAGCCGAGGCGAGCTTGTACCGTGCAGTGGAAAAGGGGCTTTATTGTCCTCTCACAGGTCACATTTCTCCTGAATAATGACAAGTGTTCACAACTTTCTGTTCTTTTCATTACAGTTTCTGGCGCTGTACAACGCAACTGCCTGCAACTCACTCCCTTTCTCTCCCTCTTTCCGCTATGTCGGCACAGACACAAGTAGCATGTACGTAACTCAGAAGAGAGCTCGCGGTCCGGTGGATTTCAGGTGTGAGAAAGGGAATATGTGAGCAGATGATAGTGATGCGAAGAAGAAAAAGAGTCACATGTTGATAATGGCTTTTTGTGGAGCTTTTTCAGTCATCCACAGTGGATTTGGACCACAAATGAAAGTCTGAACTGGAAAAGATCAGATTCCATGTGACTTGACCTGTTCACACTGTTAAAAAAAGATGAGGTCTTAGTCACATATGAGCAAAATAACTGGATTTAGGTCATTTTGGCCTGCAGTCTGGCCGCAGCCTTAGTGTAGCCTGTTCACAAAGGCTTATAGTTTGCTAAACTGACAACATTAAGCAGCAAACCAGTGAAAAGAACAACCCTGCAGGCCTTCTGACAGACACCTCACAGCCCTGTTTACTGTAGCTGGATGCACTGGGCTCAGTTGTTCCACATTGTATTGCTGTCGAACGTCTGCCTGCCTGTGCTTCTCAGCTGATTAATGCAGATGGAACTTGGCTGAGTCCATGGCTGCTACCAATGTCAGAGTAATGATGCTACATCCCTACACACACACACACACACACACACACACACACACACACACACACACACACACACACACACACACACACACACACACGCGCACCTCGGAGGAGTGTCCCGCAATGCATCACTGTGAACATTAAGTGATGATGGAACACAAGCAAACAGGGATTTGCGACACAGACACACAGAGCAGTTGTGAGTGTTGTAGGAAGGGGAGGGGTGATGGTGGGGGAGTTCAGAAGGGTGGGGTGTGAGGAGGGCAGTTCTCCTCAATTCTAGGTGATTCACGTTTGAAGTGGGCTTGCAAAATTGCTTTATGGAAAGTGGCGAGCGGCTCGGCGGGAACATTAGGCGGGAAACAGCAGGGAGGCGGCGTTTCATTAGGGAGCTCTGCTCCGCCTTTATTACCCGGATTTGGAGTTTTATGGTTATCATTATTTGCGATAGAATTATTATTCGCATATATCTGCTAGTCAGCTGTTTGGGTTTGGGACTCTGGGAGACAGCGTCTGTGTGACTGAATCCATGAGTGGTTTCTGAGGTGATCTGTACAAGGTTAACCATTTTCCCTCCTCTGTGTGCTGGGCGTGTGAGCTCAGGCTGTGGCCGCGCTGTCAGCTCGTTCGTCGGCCTCGGCGGGTAATGTCTCACAGGTTTCCATGGCGAGGTGGGAGCGGCTGACGTTGGCGAGGCAGTGCCGGGTGATCTCTGACCGAAGCCTTGTCTGAGTCTCCATCAGAAACTCATCCTGTTGATCACACAAAAAACAGAGGGTTAGCATAGCATAGCAAATGCCAAAAAACATGAGGAGGAACCATTTACTTACACACATACAGTGACACACATGATTGCATCTGTGATTCTTTGTTTTGCTCTGTGATGAATGATGAAAAAACCTTGATTCTTTTCCCTGACCTGGCAAAACTTTCTGGAAAATGCAACCACTGTCCGGAGACAAACACCTTTGTCCACCTATGTCTGTTGTTCAAGGATCAGACGACATCATATTATTTCGGAGCTGCTCGTCTTACACTGCGACACATTTAATGGGTCATCGTTCATTATAATCAAACTGGTTCGTCCCACTGGGACCATGAATGCGCTCAGATACTTAAATAACAATCAGCTCACCACATTATGAATCATCTTGTGTGCAAAACTGACACTTTGTCCTGATGGTGGCATCTGGGGAAACCCATGTGCATCAATTCCACAGAAGTCTGTCTGTTTTATTGTTATATTTCTTGTGGAAATGCTCACCTGATAGTGGCACTAAAGAAAGGTCATGTCCACAAATTTCATGGCGACTCATCTCAGATTAGTTGTTAGGATGTCTTGCTCTGGTGGTGGGTGGACAGACACACCATCCTCAGGCATGGCTGCTATCAGCCATCAGCCTCTTCTTTGTGATTAAATGTTGTAATATACTTTTATAGTACCCACTTTGTCTCAGCCTCCTCTTCAGTTAGCGAGCTCCTACATTCCCAGTAATTCACAGACATGAAAAGAAGCACCTGGAAACATAAAAATCAGAACGTCCCTGGAGAATTTTGCCGAAACTAAATGTGGATGGGAGGACAGGAAGAAGGGAGGAGTGGACAAGTGACAGAAGAAATAAATGAAAGCGTGGAGAATAAAAGGACGGAGCAGAAGACGGGCAGTGGGCTGACTCCTGGCTTTGACGGGTGTGATGCTGTCAGGAAAGCCCAGCATCCCAAAAACCAACAGCAGCAGCAGGTCTCTCTTTCCAATCTGTCATCACCCTCTCAGCTTTGTCCTTTTAAACAGAGGAAATAAATAATAATGCCAGCAATTTTTAAAGGATCCGTTTATGGTGGTAAATGTACTTGTATAGCGCCTTTCTAGTCTTTTTGACCACTCAAAGCGCTTTTACACTACATCTGCATTCACACACTGGTGGAACAGCCATCAGGAACAGTGTCTTGCCCAAGGACACTAAGACATTAAGCCTGGAGAAGCCGGGGACTGAACTGTCGACCTTCCAATTAACGGGCAACCCGCTCTACTTCCTGAGCCACAGCCGCCCAAAAGTGTAAAGGGACAGAAGCCTGAGTGTGTGAAAAACACGGGCACCCTTTTTGGCTTGTGTAGCCTTAAAATGAAGCCACTGGACCCAGACAAACAGTTTTGATTTGAACTGTTTCTGCAAGAAGAAAAAAGCTAAAGATAAAAAAAAAACTAAATCAACACCTCACTCCTCCGATTTATTCTGCGACCTCTTTGGGGCCCCCGACCCCCATGTTGAAAAACACTCCCATATCCCCTTTTTGTCATTAATAATAACTGACTATTCCTCTCCGCTCATTGTTGTTTGTGTTTGTGTCATTAAGTTTGATTCCAAAATAAAAGTTTGCTTTAAAATGAACCTTTTCCTTCAACAAAAACTAAACTGAATTTTCTAAGCTGCAGCCTGCTCCTCTCTTTTCTCCTCCTCCCCTCCTTTCTGTTCACCTCCCCCTCCTCCTCCCCCTCCTCCTCCCCTCAGTGGCGGCGGTCTGCAGCAGAGCAGTTAATAAAGAGATTGATTATTGGCCTGTCAGGAAGTGACAGTTGGACAGGGCTGCTCTGCGTGAATGACAGGGGGCACGCTCACCACGCAGCAGCCCGCCTGACACACACACACACACACACACCCAGATGCCTTTGCCAACACCAGGGGTAGGTGAGGTGGTGGTGGGGCGGAGGGGGGCTGGATGGGCGAGAGGCGGGCATGTGGAGAACAGCAATGCAGCCTTCTGCTGGTGGAAGAAGTTTGTCTGTGTTTGAGAGTGTGTGTTTGGGGGGGGGGGGGGGGGGCAGAGTTCACAGCCACGGCCTTCTGGACAGGGAGAAAGAGGGATGCATATGACACCATACACAGGAGCCAAAGGGGTCAAAAGAGACTTAGGAACACACACACACTGCTGGGTATCTATGAGCACACAGTACAAACACACACAAACCAGACAGCGCTCTGAGCGGTGCGGCCGTTTTGGTGTAGTGGGCAACGTTGAAGGTGCTGATCATGTGACCTGCTGGGTTTTTCCTTATAAACAGTCATTATCAAACACAATCTGAGACACAAGGTCTGAAGAAGTTTCAAAGAGACGTATCAGTCGTGCTATTCATGTGTGCAGGGAGTTCCAGTGCTCCTCCTGCTCTACAGGCCAAAAAGGCTGATGGAGTTCTTTAAAGACACCTACGGTCCACACACAAACAACCAGTGAAGCGATGCAGATTTGGGCCTGACTTCAAGTTGCCCTGCCTAAAAAAAAGAAAAATAAAATCAGAAATTTGTATTTTATACAGTCCACATCTCATTATCAGAAAGGACAATCCACTCTGACTCTGTCCATTATGAAACAAAGGGGAAGTGTACTTGATATTAAATAGTCTAAAAGAGTCTTTTTAAGATTTTCTTTTTACATTATATCTGCTTTATGTGCATTCATTCATTCTGTAAAACAGATGTGTCACTTCAGCCCTAACCCAGACTGTACATGCCTCAACCTGATCTTGCCTAGCCCTACCATAACCTTACAGTGACGGAGAATGGTTAACATGGGCCGACCAGGTGTTTGTCTACAAAGGGCAGGCGAGTCCCCATAATGTGTGTGAACAGATTTTCCCTCCGCAACACAATTCATACACGTCTACACACCTACACACACACACAAACGACTTAAACACCACTCCCACCTTTTCCATAACCCCTGAATACTTCCACAGAAGGGGGGCAGAGGGGGCAGAGTGGGGAGTGCATAGTTGTTAACCGCCCCACTCCATACTGCATTCATTGTTCAAAGGGAACATGTGCCAAGGGGAAAGGAAAAGGCATGGAGGATGGTGGGGTGAGAGCTCCTGGACAGTTGGTGGACTTTCTGCATCTTTCATCTATCTGCGGTGCTAAATGTCAGTATGTCCCCAGCCTGTCTCCACACTCACATGGGATCCTTTTGGCAGCGCTGGGGCACAAAACAAGCACAGTCAACATAAAGCAGTAAGGAGCATATGCCATGTAATGAGGCTGACAAGGTGAACACAAAGGAACAAGCTGCTGTAGCCCGAGGAAACATATCTGACCTGAGTACAGCGTCAGAGGTTATCTTGGTTTGTAAAATGATCACACGTGTGATATATTTCACACCCTATGTTAAATGTAGTTTTGATGTAGCACTAAATCAGAATAAGTCTGGTGATATTCTGGATCTGTGTGCAGATCCAAACCAACACTAATGTATTTAATGTGCTTAAGTGTGTGAGCCTGATGTCTCTTCTTTTATGTGTCTCTACATTTTACATTTTACATAAACATTCATCTTCAAAAATTGTAATTATTTTTATTTTTATTTATATTTATATTTAGCGGTTGCCGATGGTTGGAAGGATAGATATAATCAAAACTTGGCCTGTTTTCAAGGGGCACAATATCTCTCGCGGAGTTTTCAGTTTAAGTTTATTCGTTTTAATTAGGATTGACATCTTTAACCTCCATCTGACACGTCATTTTACTGAATTCCACTGAACCCACTTGGCCATTCAGTGTCACTTCATCAGATACAGCAGCTGGGTCAGTGGCCCAACGCCTGTGCTTCTTAAAAAACATCAGTTTTTGCATCATGTTCCACTTCCTCCCAGTTTCTTTGGATCTTTGACCCGATATTGATGATATTTTGGCATCTGATTCTTTCTGGGTAAAATCACTGCACATCTGATGGGGATGACATGCCTTAACATCTTCTTTTTACTTCATGGAGCAGAGGTGCCAGACTTTCAGCAAAGCAAAACTGATTTCACAAACACACGCACTCCTTCCCCCAATCTGTGTTTTGTTGTTTCTTGCACTTGATCAGAAAGTGGAACAATCAATACCTCTCGATTGAGAAAGCGGACTGCTGAGTCTGGAATCAAGAGGTTTTTTTTTTTCCTTTACAGACAGAGAGGCGGAGAACGTTTCACACCCAAAGAGGAGGAATAAGAGTGTGGGAGGAGGAGGAGACGCAGATGGACAAGTGCTTTTACGGCTGAGTCTTCCTCTGGCTCAGTGCCATGGCCACAGACTCTCTTTGTTTGCCCGGCTACTAAACTAATAGAGATAAAGGCAGGTTCCTGCTGGCCCTGAATTAGAAAGTCATTAAGGAATATAAACACACATGGGCGCACGCACGCATGCACACACACACACATACACACACACTTATATGTACACATGTGCATATAAGTGATGTGCATGTAGAAATGCAAAGGTACTCGTGCACTAAAATGCTCTGTATAACAATTTCAATGGCTGCTTCTCTTTTGCAATCAGTACAGAAAACAACCTCAAAATGACACACACACACACACACACACACACACACACACACACACACACTTCCACACCTTCTGTCAGTGCTAGAAATCCAAACAAACTCTTGTTTCCCGACTCTGTGCCAGGGGGAACTCCTTTTTTGTCACCACACAATTACTTCTTTCTTCACATTCTTCTCCATTTTCTGCCTTGTCAAAATGCTATTGTGAGTGTCAAAGGCTCCATTTGACTGGTTGGCATGTGTGTGTTTTCTAATATTATATTTCCACCTGGGCCGATAGACCTCTGTGATGGCCTGTACTGAAAGTGCTGCTTCTCAGTGTACAAATAATGGAGCCTAAAAATGTGTGCGGCCAAATTCTGTTGAAGCAGCAGTTACCAACCTGGGGGTCGGGATCCTCCAAAACTATATGCAACTAAAACTGCTCACAAAGCAC